GAGTTGTGGTGCTGGTGGAGAATGCTGAAAGTACCATGGACTGCTAAAAGAACGAACAGATCTGTCCTGGAGGAAGTGCAGGCAGAATGCTCCTTGGAAGCAAGAACGGCCAGACTTCGTCTCACCTATTTTGGTCATGTTGTAAGAAGAGGGGGAGGCCTTCAACGAGATGGATTGACACGGTGTCTTCGATGATGGGCTCAAGTATAGCAGGGATTGTGGGGCTGGCGCGGGATCAGGCAGTGTTTCATTCTGCTGTGCATGGGGTCGCTATGAGTTGGAACGACTCCACGGCACTTAACAACAACAACAACATATATTGTACATTTACCCTTAAAAAAAAAATTGGCCATCAAGTTGATTCTGACACAGGAGGACTGGGCAGTGTTTCATACTATTGTACATAGGATCTCTGTGAGTTGGAACCGACTTGACAGCACCTTAACAACAACAAACTTTCACAGAAAGTATCAAATCTCAATGCTCTTGTCTAGAATCTGAGGTTTTATGTCAACCTTTTTCAGATCTTGTTTTTTTTATATACCTGGAACAGATTGAGCTCTTGAATCTTATTATTCAATGACAATGGTTAGAATTTCTGATTTTAGCAAAGGACAAAGTAAAGTAGTTTCACATTTTTTATTTGCTAAATATAAATTATCTGAATTTTCAAATAACCTCATTAATTTGTTTGCATTTTCTTTTCCCTTCCTAGGAAGTATTACTGGTTTAAAAGGCAACTCTGGCCAGACTGTGTACTGTGCCAGTAAAGGAGGATTAGTTGGATTTTCCCGTGCTCTTGCTAAAGAGGTAGCAAGAAAGAAAATTAGAGTGAATGTAGTTGCACCAGGTCAGTGTAAACTTCTCACTAAAATAACTTTATCATTTATGATTATTTTATAGAGGAAGCCATTAATTAGTCTTTTAATTGGTACTCAATGATTGACATCTAGATATAGAGTAGTTCTAAATTGATTGTGAAGAGATTCAAGTAATGAACTTTTGACAAGAAAAAAAAATTCTTTGTACTTTATATAAAATCTTTAAATATTATATCAATAGTGGAATGTTAAAGGTGGAAAAGATCACAGATAGCATATGTTTCAGTCATTTCTACAGTTTAGAAGATTGGGACCTAGGAGACACAATGACTTGTTTCAGATTACACAGCTATATTATAGCAGCACTGTTAATCAAAGACTTATCTTTTGATTTCCAGCTAAGAGACGCTGTAAGTTAATGCCCCTTAGATTTCTTTTATATCATTACAAGTTTTAAGTCTTCTTGTCCTTTTGTTAAAATGGTCTCTTTAAACTACCTGGAAACTTCCAATTTCTTAACTTTTTCCTTCACATTATTTTTAATTCTTTTTTTTTCTTGGATTAATGAGGTGATAAAACGCAAATCAGCTATCACTCATTAGGTTGTGTGATAGAAATTTTGGTTAGATGTTTATTTGACTTTTGAGTAAAATGTGTAATTTCAAAAACTTCTATCAGCTAGGGAATCTTTGTTCTAACTTCCTATAGCTATTTAAGGAGCTCTGGTAGCATAGTGCCTAAGGCACTTGACTGCTAACCAGAAGGCCGGCAGTTCAAACCCACCAGCCACTCCTCGGAAGGAAGCTTGGGCAGTCCTACTTCCTTAGTGATACTGCCTCGGAAACCCAAGGAGGGGTCACTATGAGTCGCTCACCCAGCAAATAACAACAACAACAATAGCTATTTAAGAACTGGTTAACTATGTAAGAAAAGACAGTTTATTTTGGTTCACTGGTCATTTGCAAAAGAATATGGGCTGAAGTACTTTCCATTCCAAGTTACTAATGGCTCTAGCTTGGACCTTAGAGTTGATGTTTTATTTGGCATCGTTGAACCAGCAGATAACAGGAATATTTGAAAGGTCCTAGTAAGCCTTTTGCTCAATAATGTACCTTTATCTCAATTCATTCTTTAGGCATGAAGACTAGCTAAATTTAGTCATTCCAAGTCCATGAGCATGTGATAAACGACTGAGTTAAACATTTATATTTTGAAAAAAGACCAAAAAAGATCATCCAAATGCCTTCTATTTGTGTATGCATGCTTTATGCAAGCTAATTGATTTTACTATTAACCTGGTTTAACCATATGAAGGAATACAGATTATTTGTAGTTTGGGACGCATGTATTTGCTTTCTTCTCTATTTGTGATTAGAATAGCATGAGTAATAAAGAATTAATTCCAGTTCATGATGATTTAAAAGTTGAATGGTAATGGAAGTGTTTTCCAACTCTGTAACTCACTCAGTATACTTCCTAGAGCGTCTCCACGTGCAAGGGTTGTGCTAGGTCCCGAAGTTATACATATGAATGAGATGTTTCTACCACAAAGAGCTAAGTATAGTGGGAAAGACAGACATGCAAACAATTATGTGCCCTATGATGAATGCAATAATTGAGATACAGATAATGCTATGGGAATGCTGAAGAAGGAATGCTTAATCTTGCCTAGAGTGAGTTAGTTGCCAAAGCTATAAGCTATTCAGTGGGAGTCAAAGGGAAGGTTGAAGAATGTTACATAGGTTTGTTGATCTACCTTTGTGTGTGTGTGTGTGATTTGGGTGAAAATTTACAGAGCATATTCACTTTCCATACAGCAGTTCACATACACTTTGTGTCATGACATTGACTACAATTTACCACAATGCAATAGCTCCCCTCCCACTTCCTCCCCATAGTTACCTCTTCCCTGTGTCCATCCCTTCATGCATTCCTGCCCCCTGAGCTATCTCCCTGCGCGTAAGCAGCCCTTTCTCCCATGATTCTTCTCTCCAAGGAGTGTATCTGATGTAGCTTTTCTTAAAGATTTTACTTTTTATACTACAATTTATACTATTGGGAGAAAAAAAAAAACCTGTTGCTAAAAATGTGGTTATTTGTATGTTTATCATATTAGGTATGTAGCAGGTTTCATAGTATGAGTGTGCTTCATTAGTCAGAAATGAAGTATAATTGAAATAGTAGAATTAAATGGATTATATGGACTATTTGTTAACTTTGTTTTACATAATAATTTTGACCAAATTCTTCAATGAATATTTTAATAGAGATAACAAACATCAGAATTAACAAATATATTTCTTTTCATGTCACTTTTCCTAAAAAAATCCCACTACTGTCAAGTTGATTCTGATTCACAGTGACCCTATAAGAAAGTGTGAAACTGCTCCACAAGGTTTCCAAGGCTGTAATTTTTATGAAAGGAGACTTTGTCCTGTAGAGTGACTGATAGGTTCTGATTGCCAACCTTTTGGTTAGCAGCTGAGCACTTAACCGTTGCATCACCAGGGCTCTTTTCAGTTTCCTAGCCACCTTCATACAGAGGTTTCAGTTAGCAGGAAAACATTTAAAAAGCAGATCATAATAGCAAAAGCTAGGAACAAGAAGAAAAGTAATCAGGCTGCTATCAGTAATGTTATTGACTATTTTTAAAGATCAGTTAGTTGCTAAGCTTTAATATTTCTTAAAATACAGTAAGTTTCTCACATGGATAAATCTTACTGATTATAAAATATTGAATATAAGAGACAAAATACTTGACAAATGAACTCTGTAATAGATATATTACTTTAAGAAATATAATATGAAATATGTGTTTTAAATAGATAATGCCTACCCATGGTACTCTGGTAGCATAATGGCTAAAGCACTTGACTGCTAACCAGAAGGCTGGCGGTTCAAACCCACCAGCCACTCCTCGGAAGGAAGGTTGGGCAATCCTACTTCTGTAGTGATACTGCCTCGGAAACCCAAGGAGGGGTCGCTATGAGTTGGGCCAACTCGATGGCACATAACAACAACAACAACCCATGGTACAAGACTCAAAAGTGCAAAGTGAGTCTTCTCTTCTGTAGCCATCCAGTTCCTTTCCTCAGAAGCAAGCACTGTAACTAGTTTCCTCTGTATTCTTTCATATACAAGCCAGTAAGATATGTTTATTCTTCTTTTTCAAAACAAAAAACCCGCAAATGGTATTACGCTCTTCACAATGTTCTTTATTTTGCTTTATTCACGGAAAAATACATCTTGGAGATGACTGCATTTTATTCTATGTATTACTGACTCATTTTTTTTTTTTTTAATAACAATTTTACCAAACAAAAAGCTTCTGTAAAGATTTATAGCCTTGGAAACCCTATGGGGCAATTCTACTCTGTTCTGTAGAATTGCTATGAGATGAATCACAACTTTATGGAGATTTAATTCAGATACCATACAATTCACCCATCATTATTTTAGCATGGCCATAGATTTGTACAGTGATAACCACAATAAATTTTCACAATCCCCAAAGAAATGCTGTATCCATTATCATTTACTTCTCCTCATTTCCCTCCAACTCTCCTAGCCTCTGGCAATCACTAATCTACTTTCTCTCTCTGTAGATTTGCCTATTCTGGATATTCCACATAAATGTGAACAGATAATATGTGGTCTTGTGTGATGGCTGCCCCACTTTTAATGGCTGAATTAAAACAGTTAATCCTGGGAATGGAGTTGCTGAGGCATTTTTAATTTTGACTAATAGTGTAGTGTTGCACTTACTTATTTCAGTGGTATACCTTAAATATTTACTGAAAAAACCAAGCTCACTGCCATCGAGTCAATTCGACTCATAACGACCCCTCCTTGGGTTTCTGAGGTGGTATCTCTATGGAGGTAGATTGCCCCGTATTCCTTCTGAGGAGTGGCTGGTGGGTTTGAACCGCCAGCCTCCTGGTTAGCAGTCAGATGCCTTAGGCACTATACCACCAGAGCTCCTAACTACCTTTTTTTTTTTTTTTCTCTAGTTGAAGAGATTTTCTGTTTATTACTTGCAGAAAAATCTTTTTGGTAAATGTTTGCATAAGCTTGGCAGCTGCTCAGAACAGATAATATTCTGGGTGTTCTTTTGTGCTATTTGATGTGGAATTGATTTTTCACACTGCTTCCTTATACACTTTTACAACTCTAATGCGAAGATATACAATTTTATCCTGGTTAAAATCTCAGTGTACTTTTTGGCAAGAACCTTGTTTCTTCTTAGAAAAGTGTCTGAGTTATTTTAATTTTTACTAGGTTCTAGAAACTTATAAAAGAGAATGGGTAGGAGAAACTTCTATTTAAGATCTGAACTGGTAGATAGAACAAATAGAACAGCATCCCACAATTGTTAATACTGGTATTAGTTAACATTCCAGTGTGCTATTTAAATATAGTCTCTGCTGCATCTAAAAATGTTGAAAACTAAAATCACGACCTTGTTGTTGTTGTGTTGTTATGTGCGGTCGAGTCGGCCCCGACTCATAGCGACCCCTCCTTGGGTTTCCGAGGCAGTATCACTACGGAAGTAGGATTGCCCAACCTTCCTTCCGAGGAGTGGCTGGGGGGTTTGAACCGCCCTAGTAATATGGAGCTCTGGTAGCATAGTGGATAAGACACTTGCCTGCTACCAGACGGCTGGCGGTTCAAGCCCACCAGCCACTCCTCGAAGGAAGGTTGGGCAATCCTACTTCTGTAGTGATACTGCCTTGGAAACCCAAGGAGGGGTCGCTATGAGTCAGGTTTGACTCGACAGCACATAACAACAACAGTAATATGGAAATGAGATGCTTCTGTTTATTTATTCTATATAATTAGCCAAAAATGGATAAAGGAAATATAGTTCCTTTTAGAGTTTATCAAGTTTAAATTCTTTTTGCACAAGGACCATGCACTTTTATGAGCAACAGTATCCTTGAACAGTAAAAAAAGTTCATATAATAGAAAAAAATGTGTAGTGATATGTTATGGGTATGGAACTAAAGAGGAGCTCTGGTAGCATAGTGCC